CGCGCCTGCCCGCGCCGCCGCGCCGCGGTCTGCGTAGCGCCGCGAGCCACCAGCTTAGAATCCCCAGGGAGCCGGCTGAGGAGACTGTACCCTGGACCCACTGGCACCTAGCAGTCTTCGAGGGCGCAAGCCTGCCTACCCTACTGGTCCTCCAGCCCGGGGGGTCCGCGGGCTGCTGCGTGCGCCCGGGGGAATTCTCTGGGCTCGGCTTCACGCACGTGGCGGGTACCCTTGTCCTGGGAGCTCTCCGAAGAGCTTGGGTGTTGCAAGGTTTCACCAGGAGTAGGGCCCCCCGTTAGCTCTGCGGCAGAAAGAGCTGGCGGTCCGCTTGCTCACGGATCACAGCCGAGGAAACGCTACGGCCCTGCTCTGTCACGCGGGGTCGCTGTGAGACGTGGACTCCGTGGCTCTGCAACCGACCGCGCTTCTCGCCCTTCCCCTTCCCCTTTGTATCCCGATTTGGGATTGTAAACAGCGGGGCGGCGCGCGCGCGCGCGCCTTAAAGCCGAGGCAGAGCTTCCCATTGATATTACGTAACGATGCCCCTCGCGAAAGAACCCCTGGGAGCCTTCGCATGGACTCTTAAGAAAAGGCACTTTTAGGGAGAGTGCGTGTGTGAGTGTGTCACGCGCCTCCCTCTTGATAATTTATACTCTTGTTTTCTCGCGGTCACCCCTTCACAATCTGCCGCCTCTGGGAGATTGGGAACCCAAACCTCTTTTGTTCCTTGGCTTTTGAAAACCTATTCCCCGAAGGACAATGCAAACAGGCGGGATTTAATTCAGGATTTTAGCTTCCCCACCACCGCTTTCGCCACCATCCCCGCCCCCACCACCCCCAAAGGGTGTTTCATATCATACCAGGCTTTTATGCTAAAATCGTCCTGTGTGGATGGATCATAACCAACCTGAAACCAGGTATACAGGCGTCTCCCCCGCGCTGCTCCCCGGGGAGGGAGCGCCAACGGTCCAGGACCCAGCTATAAATTGAGAGGAAACCTCCTTCATTTGTGGCACTGAAATGGCTTTGAATTTAGTCATTGAGATTAAACCAGGGGCCCCCACGACCTCACTTCTTAATACTTTAGCCAGAAGGCAGATAATTGCACCAAACGAGAGAGCTTTAAGAAAGGGGAAAAATAGCCCCAGTAGCATTTAAAAATTAAGTGGAAAATTCAGCACTCATGAGACCATGGCTTCCCTCACCCCCACCCCAGCTTACGATTTTTAAATAATACTGTTAGCTTTTCTTGTTTATGATTTAGCAAGCTCACACAAGTAAATCGTTTACAACAAAGGGGAAAAAATGCCAAATAACAGCAGACTTTTTTCTGAAGAATAAATGCCACATAAAGACCTGAAATTTAAAAAAAAAAAAACCTGAAATTTTATTTGTTCATTCAGCATTCGTTGATTACAGACAGATACTCAGCCTGGAGCTAGGTGATAGAAATACAGTGTATGTGACAGGTACATTGAGGACCAACACGGCGCGCGACACACACACACACACACACACACACACACTCACTACTACAAGTCTATCCTAAAGGCTTTATAGTGAAGAACCAGCTCAGCCTGGTAGATGGCTACAGATTCACCGAAGTAAGGGATTGGAAAACATGGAAGCTACACACAGGAGCGCAAGAGGTGGTGAGAACGGGAAGAAGCACTGCATGCTGTGTGAGGGGGGCTGAGGGAGCGAAACCTGACCTGAGAGGGTCTGTAGGGTTTAACCAGCAAGGATGCTAATCTACTGGTGGTTTTTTGTTTTTGACTTGTTTCGATAAGGGTTTTTAGCAGAGAAGTGGCAATAGTTATACAGTAAATCCGATTTCTAAAATACTGGCAGGCAGGGACCATGCTCAGTTGTCTCTCAATTGCCCAAGACTCTACCAGTTGCCAGGTAGTCAGCGTTGACTCAGGGTGACCCCAAGAGTTAGACTTAGGGACTGTTCCATCCAGTGTTTCCAACGCTGTCATGGTCAAGGAAGTAGAGCGCCAGGCCTTTTCTCCTACCATGCTGTGTTCATTTTGAGTGAACCTTAACACGCTGCTACTACTTAAGACACACACAGGCACAAAATAATAATTCATCAGTTATCAAGGGTTCATGAGGGAGGGGGAAAACTGAGCTGATGCCAGGGGCTCAAGTGGAGAGGAAATGTTTTGAGAATGATGAGGGCAGTGAATGTACAAATGTGCTTTGCACAATTGATGTATATATGGATTGTGATAAGAGTTGTATAAGCCCCCAATAAAAATTTTTTTTTAAAGAAAATAATTTATAACTTATCAAGGGGTCATGAGCCAGGGAGCGGTCGAGGGAGGGAAAAAAAGAATAGCTGATAACAAGAGCTCAAATAGAAAACAAATGTTTAGAAAATAATGATGGCAACATATGTACAAATATCCTTGATACAATTGATGTATGGATAGTTGTAAGAGCTATAAAAGCCCCCAGTGAAATGAGCTATTACAAAACAAAAGGCAATAAAGCAAATAATGATTAAAAAAAAAAAACCTCATTGGCATGGAGCCAACCCCTACTCACAACGACTGTATAGGACAGGGCAGAACTGTTCCTATGGGTTTCCCAAACTGTAATTCAGTTATGGAGGGAGGAAAGCTCCATCTTTTTCCGGATAATTAAGAAAAGCGGAGACCATCTCCGAACTACTTCCCTTTTGTCCCCATTTCATTCTTCTCTCTTCTTTCCACTCATCCTTTTGACAACCATCCCCACCACTCTACCAAAACAGCTTCTAAAGTCAGGCATGACCTCACTGCCAAAATGACAAATTAATGCTCCTTAGATTTCTCTCCATCATAGGTGAGATTCTGCAGTCCTTACTGTCTCCAGCCCTGACCCTTTTGCGGCTGTTCCGGGAAACTTGCCCCTTCTTCCCCTCAGCAGGCTCATATTCTCAGTGCCTGCCTTCACCCTTCATGCTGTGCCATCTATGCTTCCTCCTTGATGCCACCCATCCCTGCAATGTGAACCCTAGGTCCCTGGATTCCTGTTCTTTATATCCAACTCTGACTTGTGGGCTCTACTGTTGAATTTTTAACTCCTAATAGAACTAATCAGTCTTTGAGGGAAACAACCAGAATGATCCTTGGAAGCGAGGATGGCGAGACTTCATCTCTCCTACTTTGGACAGGTTATCAGGAGAGACCAGTCCCTGGAGAAGGACATCATGCTTGGGAGAGTGTCAATGAAATACAGGAAGGTTCCCCAAGAAAATGGATGAACACAACCGCAGCCACAGTGGGCTCAAAGCACAATGGTGAGGAGGGCGCAGAACTGGGCAACAGTGTTTTGTTCTGTGTAACTAGGTTGCTATGAGCCAGGACCCTCTTACTGGCACCTCACAACAGCACTGCAACAAGTGAGCAGTGTCACTGGAATGTAGTTCTATTTCTCCAACTCCTCCTCTACCTCTATCAAACTGCTCCTAAATAGCAGGGAAGAAGCGCCCACAGGATATCAACATGTTTCTTCTCGGGATCTCAATACCCAATTCCAAGAGTCTTTAACTCCTGCTTAGTTGGTCTCTAAGGCTCCTATCTTCCTTTTCTTCTTCCATTGCCTGATAAACTCTGATTCAGGGCAACCTCATACAAGTCAGAGTCAAACCTTGCTCCACAGATTTTCAAAAGTTAATTTTTGAACATGGACAGCCAGAACTTTCTTCTGAAGTACCACTGTGTGAACCTGAACTTGAAACCTTTGAGTTAGGAGCCAAGAGTTGGCCATTAGCACCACACAAGGACTTTCTTCCTTTTTTTTTTTTTTTTAAATCATTTTATTAGGGGCTCATACAACTCTTATCACAATCCATACATACATCAATTGTGGAAAGCATATTTGTACATTTATTGCCCTCATTCTCAAAACATTTGCTCTCCACTTAAGCTGCTGGCATCAGCTCCTCATTTTTTCCCCTCCCTGCTCCCCCTTCCCTCATGAACCCTTGATAATTTATAAATTATTATTTTGTCATATCTTGCCCTGTCCAACGCCTACCCTCACCCACTTTTCTGTTGTCCGTCCCACAGGGAGGAGGTCACATGTAGATCCTTGTAATCCATTCCACCTTTCCAACCCACACTCCCTCTACCCTCCCTGTACTGCCATTCACACCACTGGTCCTGAAGGGATCATCCGCCCCAGATTCCATGTGTTTCCGGTTCCTATCTGTACCAGTGTACATCCTCTGGTCTAGCCAGACTTGCAAGGTAGAACCGGGATCATGACAGTGGGTGGGGGGAGCATTTTTACAATGCCAATTTAATAGAAGAAAGTATTCTTGCACTGAGGGAGTACTTGAGTGGACCCTATTGTCCTTCTGCTACCTTAATACTAAACCTACAAATATAGGCGCATAGATCTATTTCCCCATCCTCATATATAAATATATTTGCATATGTACATGCCTTTATCTAGACCTCTATAAATGCCCTTTGCCTCCCAGCTCTTTCCTCTATTTCCTTTGACTTTCCTCCTGTCCCACTATGCTCAGTCCCCACCTGGGTTCAGCAATCCCTCTTTGTTACATTACCCTTGATCATGCCATACCAGGCCTCCCACACCCTCCTCACCACCAATTTGGATCACTTGTTGTTCCCTTGTCCCTGGGTT